CGAAAAGCGTCCTCAGCTCAGCGTCCAGTAAGAATTCCGGCGATTCTCGACTTCAATTGAAAGATATTAGCTCGCCAGTAGGTGACCGTTGTGTGTTAGGCGTGCGTTTGAGTTTGTCTCCGGCTGCTGAGAGCAGCGATGGAATGGTTAGTTAGTCAGGAGGTGATCGTTCGGGCAACATTCAGCCCAGCCAGTGTCACGCATGGCAAAATACACGGTTAAAATACACATGTTCACCCTATTGAGACCAGTTGTTATGGTGGAAACTTTGGCCGCTTTGCGGGACGGGAAAATATCATCAGATCGGAATGAAATTTTGCACAGAACCTTGTACCATAGTATCGACAAGAATTCCGACCCGGCCCGACGAATCCGACAAACTTTTTTTTTTGCCATGAAAATGTGGACCACCCTAATATACACACACAAAATGACATTTGACATAGGCCGCAAGGCGAGTTAAAAAAGGTGAAGGTGGGCAGAATGTGAAGGGATGGTGTACTGTTCAACTTTTCTCTGTATTGAAGATACAAATAAACCATTTATGATTAAAAGACAAACACAATTTATCTTTAAAAACCCTGTAGTGAATTAAGATTCCTCAAATTAGAGGCAAAAATAAATTTCCTCCAATTTGTGCTCTCTTGCTGATCCTTCAGTAAAGTGAAGAATGGTCACCTTACAACAGTTTGTTCTTTTTTTGGTTCTGAATCTGGAGATGGGATTCGGCTGCTGTGAAGTGCAGAACTGGAGAGAGCGGGCTGTTGGCCACCCCAAAAACTTGGAAACATGCCCAACTATTTGCCTTAACACCTCCACCTTCAACAGAAACCTGATGAAATTAACGAGACAACAATTGCTTTCTTGACTAACATTAGCGTGTTTCAAATAGTTGAAGAATTTTGAAGTGGCCCTTTCAATCTGTCCGTTTTTCTGTATGCGGCACTCAAAGGAAAAAAGTTTGGACACCCCTCTAATAGAGAATCTGGTGAGAACGATAACTCTTCATTAACAAAATTTCGAGAAAAAAAAACGTTGCCTCTGCTGTTTGTTGCATGCATCCACACTGTACCAGCATTCTAAACTTGACACAGACATAGCCTCTAGGTGTGTTTATCCTCTCTTCTCGAAACAGGCATTACTGTACCGAGAGCATTATGTTTACCAAGTTGGGCCACAAGAGGGCACTAAAAGACTTGCGAATAAATCTTGTCCATCAACTTTTTCCAGCTCAATGACTGGATCGGGCTTTATTCCTTCCTGGATAGATATTAAGGAGTAAATGTTTCGCAAATCTTTTGCCCCGGTTCTTGTTAAACTAAATTTTAGAGCAAAAATAAATAAATCACTAAAAATGATGGTGATGAGGTCATGATGTTCTACTTTCAAGCGATCACTGTCTGT